TACACCTCAATTTTGGTAATTCTTATTTTCACATATTTCAATGCTGTCTTTCTTGTGTTTAACCTTATAAAACATGAAAGTATTTGTTTCTCTTTGAGCCACTTCTAATTGTTTTTATATTGCACTTTTTGTAAAGCAAAAGTAGCTCTTTTATTATTATAGTGTTATTGATCAACAACCTAACTTAAAAGATCTCTTTCATCATAAATTATGTTTATTCCCATGTTTTTGCACCTCACACCCACCGTACTACCACATCCATAAATTCCAGTATCTTTCTTACAGTTTGATTCATCCCCTTGTATGTTCTAGGTTTCAAAGTCTGGCTGTTACAGGAAAGACTCATGGCATTCAGGATTAAATAGCCTGTAAACAGCAAGAAGCTTAGAATTTTGCCTTAACTTGACAGTAGCAAAAACAAAATTCAAACCAGATGAAATGGCTACCATTTGTGTAGTGTACATATCCTGGGGACCTCTCCTTGGTGTTCATGACAATACAGACAATGCAAAAAATGACCTTTTGATTAATTAGAAGTGTGATAAATTTTACCTGCACTAGAGTGGTTTAAATGACCTTTGAAATATTGAAAAACTTTCCAGTAGAGTAAATAACTAGGAATCCATGTGTTTCAATTTAACAGGTTAGTAAAAACTGGGCCATTTAGGATGCATATTACTGACAATTTGCTGTCATTTCAAGGTCAACCAAAAAAAAATTTTTTGCAAGGCATGTTCACTAATAAACTAGATGGCACTGACAAACTCATAGGATTTTTCTTTGTTTGCTTGTCTGTGCTTTTTCCTTTAAGCAGTAAAGAACAGAGAGCGTAGACAGACACTGTAGTTCATCATCATGCCATCTACTTCAGGGGCAACCTTAAAAAATTAGTGGTGCCCTACACAAACACCCTTGTAGCTTTTACCGTGTCTTTGGGACCTTCTCGTACTTCTTAACTCCTATTGATTGGCTCCCCCAGCTCTTATTCTGGTGTTTCACTGACACTTGCCACGTGCTTTACGAGCACAAACTGGATTTTTTATCTCAGGCTGTCCTGTCAGATGTGCTCATTCTCTAAGGAAGAAAACAACTGTTTGCCAATGGCAATAGCATCACCTGCTGTTAGAGGAGAAATCAGCGTACCTTTCTCCTGAAGAGTAAGGCTAATCCCTATTTAATTTTTCAGGGTATCCAAGCTGAATATGCAGATCATGATTGGGAAATCAGATCATATAATTCATGCTTTACTGCTATATTTTATATAATAATTTTCCCATGTACACATCATGTGTTGGGATTTGTAATGTCACTTTGACACAGAGAAAGCAAAACATTTTGATGTTTGGGGCTGTAGATTTTTCCCAAAAAGCAGAAGAGGGATCAGTCCATACAATGGAAAACTTTTGAGATTTATCAGAATCAATCCTTCCCTGGTTTTGTAATCATCATTAAATATAGTTTCCTAAAGAAAAACAGATCCACAAATCGGCATAGGAGATACTTTAAGTCTTACTTTGAATAACATCTAGGAACATTACACTTTAGTCATTATGCATAAAAATGATAGAATAAATTCATAATATACAATGTATATGACACTTTAAAATTTAGGAATATTTTTTCTTCCATCAAAATTTGACTATAAAATAGCACTTTCTGAGAGATCGGGTTGATTTTACAGCTCCTGTTAACTTGCTTAAAAGCAGATACCTACAGCTTCTGAGGATATCTAAAAATGAATGTTTTTTTACAATATAGAAGGAGCCAAAATATTGATTAGTATCTACAGCTCTGAATCACCAGAATGACAACTTTGAGTCTTCCTTTCTTACTTTCTGTGTTTCTTCTCTTCTAAATTCAGATGGCTGTGAGAGGTCTTTGTGTTTCTACACATAGCAACGCTTTCTGTGATTTAATTCCCATGTATGTTTATATATACATGCTATGTCACACTGGATGTCACTCACTGGATGATATCATGGGGAAAATAATATGAAGCTATTTTGATAAAGTCCTTTATGTTGCTAAAACTTGGAAAGAGAGAGCAATGTATAGAGAATCAGGTTAACTATTGAAAAAAAGATGGAAATACGAGGAGAAAAAAATATTTGACAATGTGTGCTAAATGACATTTAAACTTTAAAACAAAAATAATTTCTATTCAGGAGCAGAATCCTATTTGCAAAGTCCTGCAGAAAATGACCTGAGAGAACTAAGTCCAGAATACTACTGGCTTCTTTTGAACCATATTGCTATCATGTTGAGATCTCATTTTTATGGATTTGGCACAAATTACTAATAGACAAATGTTTCTGTTGTTTCAATTTGATGTAAAAGAAGTTATTCACAACCATAAATACTTGAATACAAAGAATTTCTGTCATATAGTTAAAATAATCCTCTTTAGAAATAATAATTGCTTATCATACAATAAGTTCTTAGTGTGAACAATTAGCACAGGTTTCAGAAAATGACTTTACAGATTTCTCTCCACTAGAGGTCTCTAGAGAAATACAATAAACTATTCAGAATAGCAGATACCTTAGACTTCTTGACATTATTTTCATGTCCTTGAAGAAGAAAATCAACACTTGTTCTATTCTTATTCCAGGTATTTCTTTGGATATACTCCTTATGTTGTGCATAATAAAAGATTCCTATTACTACAATAATAATTCAAATCCATTAGGTGTTTTAATCTATTTTATAATTAGATATTTAACATTCATAATTAGAACTTCAACAACACATCACTTAGGAAATATAATAGCACAAAGCATTTAGCTCAAGGAAGAAAAAACTAAGGTGGCAGCTTCGTGGGGTAGTCAACCTGCTAAATAAACAATAAAATAAATAAAGTAGCAATAGGCACAAGTGAATAAAGCATTGGCTAACTAGAGCAGTACTTTATTTGGCAAATTATAAAATGGTTACGCTGGTGTGCAGTTCAGCATGCCATTATATCACAAGCAAAATAGAACTTGGCTCCAATATTGGTTTTTATATCTAGTTTAACATAAACATAAATGAGGAATGTGATTCATGTAATTGTACTGGTTTTTCTTCTTTATGCTTTTTGTTTTGTTATTACTAAAAGTTTTTAAATTGAAAGTGTGTCATTTTTCCTGGTTGATATTTTCAAGAAAGTAATCTCCACTAAAAGATAAGCCTTATCCATTTTAGGATTTGTGCATCTATTTTTCCTGAAAACGTTATTCAGAAATTTAGATTTTTTTTTTCAGATAATGAAGCCTGTGTTCATTTTTATTTCCTTTTGCTGTATTTTATTTCCTTATGCTGCTTTATTTCAGTGAACTTTTTTCTGCATTTACTATTTTATGCTCATGCTTGCCTAATTGAATAGAGTATCATGATGTCACCAGGCTTGTTATTAAGCGTTGGACTATAGCCTACTGTGCTCAATGCAGAGAACAAATGGGATTCTCTGAGATTGGAGGTAGGGTCACTAATCAGAAAACTGGAAGACCATGGAAAGAAAAATTGTTGCCCTGCTCAGATTTCTCCATCATTAACTGTAGTGGATAGCTCTGTAAACAAGAACTCAATGCATGCAGCAGCATTAGTTGCTACTCTTTTTTTTGGTGCTATTTGGTAAGTGAAAGAGAAGAACCTGAGCTATGCTGAGATCTCAGAGATGAGGGAGGGGCTCCTGATAAGACAGGTTACTGGGACAGTTCTGTGACTTTCTGAAGATTTTCAAGTTAATTTTACATCTATTACATTCGATGTTTATCTATCTGCTGATTTTTTCACCTTTAAATTGAGAACTGCAAACACTACTCAACTAAGCAAATTAGCAGCTTGAATTATCACAGCTAGGCACTTCAGAGGTGATATTTCTCAGAGTATTTCTTGCTGCAAAGACCAGAAATAAATAAAAAGCTCTGAGAGGAATAAGAGCACAACACTGATATTCTCCTAAAGCTTGTAATATGAAATCTCAGAGTTTACCCATCACCTCCATCAGTGGATCTGTCAGTGAGGTTTCAGGCATGGAGCTCATACATCAAGAGATGCTGACACTTCCACAAGCTATCTTGAGTTTTTTTGAAGATGGCTATGTAGAGGTCAAGATAGAACAGAAGCCCACATACCATTTAACCAAATGTCTCTGCTCTTAATCTTAGAACATGAAGTGCTATGCAAACATATATGTATAAATGGCAGAATTTTTTCCTTGACATGAAAATTTTAAACTCCTGGATTGCAATCCACACACCAACTGCCCTGGGAGCCTTAAGACTATCCCTTCATAGGAGACTTGAGCCTGTCACTTCTGCCTCAGTTTCCTCAGTTACAGCTCAGAATTAGTTTTCCATTTTCATTACATTTCCCATTGTACAAGAGGCTTCGAAGGAGTGACTAATAAGTACAGAAAGATAAACATGCAAATTTTCAGATACTCTCTGATTTTGATATGATACGTAATCATATATTACATAAAAGTCTGAATGAAGGCATTATGTAACAGTGTACTTGTCAATAGAATTAAAATCAATATTAAAATACTGTGTTTCATTGAGTGACTACTTTATAATCAGAATTTGTGTTAATACAGCTTTTTTTTTCTCAAGACAAAAATGCTATTTCAGGTTATTGGCAATTGTATTTGAAACTTTCATCAGCTTCCCTAGTTAAACAGCTCATAGCTGATAACTGTGAGGAAAACAAAGGAAAGCAATGCAGTTCTTATGGGAACAGACAACATCTTCCTCTGGGTTTGAATAAAACCACACGCAGTGATCGTGACCTCTGGATGCCTCAGTGCTATAAATACTAAACCATAAGTCAAAGTCTAAACTTAAACTCTCTCCGTTGTTGTGTCAGCAGAATAAAATGTTAAGCCTTCTGTAATAAGGAAGAAATTAATCAATTGGGGATTAAAAGAAATTATTTATATGGTTAATTAGGGCACTGATTTATGTTACTGAAGCTGGCAGCAAAAGCTGCTGTTCTAAGGGGGGTGGTACAAAGTTTCAGGTTGATCCTGTGGTCCCCTCCCACCACCTTCTAGCATGTATATAAATTGTCAGCTCTCCAGACCCTTTGCCAGTTCTCTCTTCTAGACTTGCCTGAAGCAACAGAGGACTAAAGATGAAGATCTTTTTCTTATTCACCTTTTCAACTTTTTTGTTATCTGCTTTTGAACAAGCAGCTGCTTCTGCTCACTATGACAAGATTTTAACTCACAGTCGAATAAGGGCACGCGACCAGGGGTAAGTAACTGGCTTTTATTTCTTATTTAAAAGGAAGCTTGTTAATCTTTATTCTCCCCTTTATTCTAGCATTGTATTACATATAATTTTTCACTATGAATTTTTACTGTCATTTAAGTAGAATTTTATTTTAAAATTAATTTTATAAGAATAAAAAGCTTTTCAAGGCATTTTAAAAGGGGACAGAATAATGTTAGACTTCAAAAAATGGAAAGCAATCTAAAATCAGCACTTCTCAATGGGCAAAATGTAAATCACCAAAATTAATTTCAACTCGTAAGTATTGTAATGGGAGATCAGAAAATTTTAATGTGTTTTAAAACTTTTTCAGAGTTGATAGCTATCACAGTATTTGCTCTCTTTATTCTATCCTGATGAAAATCATTAACTCTATTTAAATGTTTTCTAATATGGGAATATATACTGGGAATTCTTCGTGAAACTTCTGTTCCCACTAGAGCAATGCAGCAAGCTGCTCAGCAGGGCTTCCAAAAGACAATGCTTACAAGCCAGGCTGCTTGGAGACATGGAGATCATTTGAACAGCTGGTGTCAGAGAAACACGTGTGCCTAAAGATATTTTTCTCTTGTCTTGTTAAGCAAAAAACATTCTGTGAATAAGAATTGTTTACTATCCTATCTTCCCACTGCCTGCTACACACACACGCTTTTCAAATTTTTTTTAGCTTTTCCAATAAAAAGCTCATTAGCTTCCCAGTGATGTAAAGTATATAGTCTAACTTCTGAATTGGAGAATTTTTTTAATTACTAAAGTATAAAAATAAGGGATAAAATGTCCCTGCTCCATGGAATTTGACTGTAAGAAATTCATCTTTGTACACCACCATGCTATGGAACACGTATTCCTCCCCTGAAGTATGTGACTCGTTTTATTTACATGCCAATTTACCCTTTGGTCCCCAGTAATTCACAGAATGTTTATTTAGGTGCCTGCAGTACTCAAAATGGTTGGTAATCAAAATAGCTGATTGATTTACAGGAGACAGGGTTTCCTTCTACATAAAGAACAAGGCACTTTTCTTCCCCATCTCCCCATGACTGACCTTCAGCTGCACAGATGTGTAAAAGACAAAAACTTTAATGAAAAGAGCTTCATGGTGTTCACTGGTCCCTGGTGGCTGGTAATTCACTTCACAGGGGGAAGGGAGAAATGGATATCGAGACTCGCCTGAGCACAGCTGGTGATCACTGCCCATCAGAGACACATGGTCAAACCAGAGTGGAGGGGAAGCTTCTGTCGCTGCAGGGAGGGTGGACTTGCCAAGGAATCCAGCTGTGCAGTCCCAAAAGCTTGCACTGTGGCTACTTCAAAACACACCTGTCCTGGGAACTGAAGCCAGATGTTAATTTCTCACTCCACAGGAAAAGTATTTGCTACTATTTCATGCAAAAATTTTCATGTACAAAAACTTCTTTTTAAAATGTTTCTCACTGCATCCATAGCCCAAACGTCTGTGCTCTTCAGCAAGTTATGGGAACAAAAAAGAAATACTTCAGCACTTGCAGAAACTGGTACCAGCAAGCCATCTGTGGAAAAAAAGCGTAAGTATGCTCTGCTTCCAAAATATAATCCATTGACTGAGATAATGAAATGCACAATTAGAAAAGTCCTTTTCTCACAAACTGTTTATAGTTTATTATAGAATCTTTACTTCTCCTCCAGGTGGCATTGCAATACAGACTTCCCCTTTACTTCTCTGGGCACACTGCAAGACATCCAAAATACTTCACCTTTTCAGTAATGTCTGCCATACTACTGACAGCTTTGGCACTAAATTTTATTCTACCGCAGACACATTGGGAAGGAAGGTATTTCCTGAAAATGCTTAGAGTGGAACTTGAATATTCTCACAGGCAGTTTTGGAAAGCAACCTACTTCTGTGGTTTTATTCCTAGATAGATAACATGTCTTCCCATGAAAGAAAGTCTGCTCTCAGAATGAATTTGAGGGAATTCATTACTTTGCAAAGCTCCAGAAGAAGTGATAGATAACTTTGTGTGTTAAGAAAAATATTTCAAAGCAATAGGTGGTTTATAGTCATTGAACCGAAGTCAAGTGCAGACTTTGCTCTCCTCATGACTAGAATTTTGAGGAATGTTAGTTTTAAAACATTTCACAAATCTTATGCAAGGCCTCAAGAAGTCTAATACAGCCAGCCAGAGGAAGACATTAAGTGGTGGGGCTGGGTGGTTTTGGTCATGACAGTGTTCACAAAATCATCACCTTCTCCTTCCATTTTAACCCCGCTACCATTGTACAAGCACTCACTGAGCAAGGTTAGAGGAAAAGAATGTGTGTGAGAATAAGTTGAGTCAGAACTCCTGAGGGTTGTTTAAGGGGTTTTTGTGGTTATAATAAAGCATCTGTTGTAACGTAGTCTTAGCCATTAATGAGTTTTATACTCTGCATACTAAACCCAGAAACACAGACAAGAGTAAGAGATTTCTCCAATAAGAATGCTAATCCAAAGGACAACAACTCAACTTGTGTCAATATCTCCATGTTAAAAAGTCCTCCCTAACTGCTTTTATTATGTACAATTCCCATTTACAATGGGAATGTAACATACAAATTTCCTAAAATCAGCATTTGTTGGACTGAGAGTCTTTCCACTGTTTCTCAGGAGTATTTTATCTCCATGCCAGCAAGAAGTAGAAACAGATGAGTCACAGAGCTGATTTGAATAAACTGAAAACTGGCTCTATTAGCCAAGAATAACAAGGATTAAGGTACTGCTCTTCTATCTTTTTCCTTTGGAATATACTCCTTTGGATGAGGTCAGGACAATGTTGTACTAAAAAAAAAAAAAAAAAAAAAAAAAAAAAAAAAAAAAAAAACACCTGAAAAACTCAAAAAACAAACAACCAAACTAAACCAAAAAACCAACAACAACAACAACAAAAAAATCCAGACAAACAAAGAAATAAACCCCACCAAAACTTCAAGAATGCATCATTGGTTACTTAGCTGAATAATTGCTTTCTTTCTTCTCCTGGCCACAGGCTTATACTGAACTAGTAGGGATGCATATGAGGATAATTTCTGGTCTGGGCTGAGGTGGCATTTCCCCTGTGTGCTTTGCCTACACACAGGTGTTACTGAGAAACTGCATCTTGCACTGAATTTTATCTGGTTCTGACCTTATTGGGATGATGCTCCATACAAACCTCTTTTCTCCCATCCCATCTTCTATTTTGGGCACAGCTAAAGAACCTTCTAACTGCAGAAAACTGTAAGGGAACATGAATAATGTAAGTAGGAACTTGATAACTGAAAAGAAGCCTGGGCTGAGCGTAGCAAGATACATGGCAGAAAAGGCACTGATCTTGCAATGCTTGGCTGTGTTTTCTTCTTAGCAATGTTCTTCAGCCAATTTTCTGTCTTTCACTAATTGTATCATTGTTGGATGTGGTTTGAGGATTAAACTTGCCACGTCTTACTCAATGCTTATAACTCAGCTGCCTCTTTCCTTTTTCCAAAAGCTAATTAAACTGCAATCTTTCATAGCTTCCTATGGGATGAGGGGGAAAGATTTTCTATTCCAGGGGAGGAAAAAATATTTTCTCATGACAAAGCAGTTCACACAGTTAGAACATTTTGATTCCTGTTCTGCTACACTTTTTTTTTTTTTTTTTTAATCAGATAATCAGATTATTGTGTTTTTATGATTAGCTTCTGTCAAGGATGCAAGTAGGACTAAGAGTAAAAGTTTTATCATTAAGTTAAAAATCTGTAGCCTAAGTTTTATGCTACTCATGCATTCCTGAGACATAGCTTCAAGTTAATTGCTTTAAAGAAAGAACTGTACTAAAAGAACTATACAAATACTTTCAATATATGACTTCCCAGTTGAAAATGTGCACATGGCAGAAGAGTGAATATGTCATGCTTGTGAAGGAATGGAGAAAAAATATTTTCATAGCATGGAGAAATAAAAGACTGTGTTTAAAAAAGAAATTATTTTCACCACCTCTATCAGATTGCTCTCTATTATGGAATGATAATCCTCACTTTTCTAATGATGCTGTTTGTTATTATTTTTCTTCCAGTCTAGTCCAACTTCTCATTTGAATAAGCTGTTCATTTTAATGTGGTTGTGCTTAATTTTTTTATCAGCTTTAAATTATGAAACATGAGCAAAATGTACTCAGCTGCCACCAAAGATTCTGCAAATTAAAAGCTGGATTCTAGTGGTTAAAGACCCAGTAAAAATCTTAAAGGAATGAATGTTCATACTTTTTGAACTGCCAACATCAGCCACCTATAAAAATAAATCTATCCTGTAAAACAATTATGTCATTTTGGTGTACCATATACTGTACAGTGTACCATAATTTGAAAAATAATATCTGAAGTTTAATATATTAAATTTCTTCCAAGGAGCCAGAATTACCTCTGTGATAACTTTAGTGAATTTGCATTTTCCTGTAAGAGAGGAGGATTTTTTAAAAAGGTCAATGGTAAAACTCTTATTTCTATTTATTAATTAAGAAGACATTATATCTTATAACAAACACAATGTTAAAATGAACATTACATTATATAATTGTCATTTATCCCTGGTTTGCTGTTGTAGCTTACGTGTATTTGAGAATGAGAGTTTAATTTATATCCTTATATAACATTTCCTTGCCCCTGGCAATGCTAAAGCCTCTGTATGCTGTGATGACAAGCTTTTTAAACTCTGGTTTTGACTTCTTGTATTCTGGTTTCTATCCTTACTACATTTAGCTGTGAACATTCTCTTAAGTCCATCAATCCATTTTTTAGTGATTTCCTTCTCTGTAACCAGTTTTATGTCTGTTTTTAATTAGTTCTCTCCCTCATTCCTGAGCTCCTTCAAATTCTTCCTTGGAAAACAGAGACTCTCTTATCCCACTTTTTATCACCATACAATGCACAAGACCTTCTCTGAAATACTTGTCAATTGCTATAACCAGTATGTAGGTGACCTCATGTAGTTCTGTCACTTCAATTTCTATTCTGTTCATTTAAATTTGTCTTTTTCCTTTACAACCCTTCAATCATGATTTCATTTTAATGTCCTCACCTCTTTTTCCTGTTTGTTCAATGTCATAATCTGATCAACACGCAATAGATAAATTAATGTTCTTCAGCTGCTGTTCTAGTCACATCATCTTTTGGTAACTCTGTATTAGTGCTATAAGCCCACCCATGTTCCGTCCCAGTGCTTAAATTTTATGATGGCAGTCATTTTTAAATCAAAAAACTTCACATTTAGTAAAATATGACCAATTTGTAATCAATCAAAAAAAAACTGAATAACAAAAAAAGACTGAAAACCTCGAGAGTATGTGCTAGCGATGAAAAATTGATAATAAAAATAAAATTAGACTTAGCTAAAAGTAGTTTATTTCTTCTGCATATTATTTAATTGTGCTTTTGTCTACATCCCACAGAACCGTCTTATATGAGTGCTGTCCTGGCTATATGAAGATGGATGGTACAAGAGGATGTCCTGCAGGTATAAGCTTATTCTCTTATGGATAAATTGACATATAGAAAGAATTACAATTACAGAGTCTCAAAGGTGGCCATCATGAGAAATGATTGTCTGTTTTTAAGAAGTACTGCCTAAGAATGCACAGCTTCATTTGCACACAGCAAACATGATTAAAAATCAGCTAGTACTGAATTTGATCATAAAGATTAGGTTTAATTTCCCAGCTCCTTCCAGATTCTGAACCGGTGAGAACTCATAGTATCTTCAGTTCCCAAAGCTGCCAAGGAAGATCTTTAATTCCTATTCCAATCAAATCTGAGACTAGTCTAAAGCATACTGGTGTGATCAGAAAGCCAGGACTCAAGGTGGAGCATATCTAAACTTTGTATTTTCCTTTTTCTGAAAAAACTTGAATCCCATTTACCTAAAGAGGCTTATAGCCTTTATCAAAGAAACAGTGAAAAGTAAGACAGAAATTCTTCATCTCCCCTATTTATACTATTCTGCTTTGTAAAAATAAAGCTAATTGCAGCAGGAAAGAGTAGTATGAGAAGGAATTCATTTCATAGTTTTTGATCCCTATAACTGAAATAATCCTTTTATATTCAACAATGCAGAGTTAAGTTTGTTTAGATAAATTAATCTCCCTTCAGATGCTGACATTAGGATGAGATTAGTCATGCACTAGAATCACCTGTTCTTCTCAATAACCATAAAAAGAGCCAAGAACCATTAGGTTGCAAGCAAATGTCTCACTTCTAGAGGCATAAAATTAGGAGAAATGAATGCTGTTATCATGTAGCCATGTTTTAACTGTGAGACTATGGCCATTCTTACTCTCTGGATGAACAATATATGCATAAACCAGACCCTGGAAGAAGAGTAAGAGGCTTCACAAAAAGAATTCTGGTCCATCATGATGGAATGAGACCCACTCCACTGAAATTTTTGTGATTTTAAATGGATAGCCTCCCTCCTTCATGTTGGGTTGATACACTATACAACAGCACTTAAAAAGGAAACTTTACAATATTCAGTATTGTTTGATCTAATTTTTCATTAAGAAAATCACAAAAAGCAATAGCAAGCAGATGTCCTTAGATGATTTTTGTGTATGTTGACAATGGAATTTTTTAATCTAAATATATTGCTTGATTCTGACTTAAACAGTTTCAGAAATATTATGCATTCAAAAAAAAAAAACCACAAAGAAAATTTGATTGTGATAAACTGATGAGTTTACAGTATTCTTACCTTGTGTTGATTTTAGTTGCTCCTATTGATCATGTGTATGGTACGCTTGGTATTGTGGGAGCTACCTCCACACAGCGCTACTCGGACATCTCAAAGCTGAGAGAAGAGATTGAGGGACGAGGATCATTCACTTTCTTTGCACCAAGCAATGAAGCCTGGGACCAATTAGATTCAGTAAGTCTGTGTGTCTGTGCACATGTGCGTGAGCTAAACATTTTAGCTGAAGTAGCTAGTGTGAGATAAATTAGATTGGAAACAATGTCAAGATTTAAGATGGAGAAGGACATAATACAAGTAATAATGAAATAATCTACTTGTAGTTGCTTCTTATTTAAGTACTTGCATGGTACATATTAGTATTGTTTATTTTATTAGCATAGTTTCAGGGAAACTCCTAGGAATTCCAGCAGCTGCATAATATATAGTTGGACATTATCAGTAATTCAAATGTCCTTCTTTTAGTAATGATTTTAGTTGAATAAACAGTGAATCAAAGCTCCTCCAATGACTTGACTGTGATGAAGTCTCATCTTCCATTTGTAAGCAAATCAGACCTTAAGTAGAGTCACATTTATAGGCATCAAAGTCACCTTACCTAACAGATGCTGAATATGTTGAAAGCATATACTAAGGTAAAACAATACATACATCTTTCTGAGTGGCAGGATGTTTTGTAGATTGTAATTAATTAAATCCTTTTTTTTTTCTTCAGGAAATTCACAGGAATTTGGTTGACAATGTAAATATTGAACTGTATAATGCTCTCCACCACCACATGTTAAACAAGCGCATGTTGACAAAAGATCTTAAGAATGGCATGACCCTGGTGTCTATGTATAATGGCCAGAAATTGCTTATCAACCATTATCCTAATGGGGTAAGTCTATTTTCTCCCCCCCCCACCCCCAAAATATTCATTTTTTTGTTGCCTTTATTTCCTTATCAAAAGTTATTATCAAAAGTTTACCATCTACCAAGTCAGTTGCCACTGACAAAAATAAATATTCTCTTGAAGAACTTTATGAAATAAATATTCTCTTGAAGAACTCTAGCTGTGTAGACTAATCACTAAGAATGAATGAGCAAACTTTGTGCTGTTTAGAAATCAAAGCTCAGATGAAAATGAACTTTATTCATAAAACACAAAGCCTTTTGTGGTCAAAATACATGATCATAATAAATTTGACAGCAAAATCTACTATTAAATTTCATAGTTTTGCTAAATAATATTAAAGCAGATCTTTTATTTGAATTTGGGTGCATAGTAGGAGCATTGAAGGTAGAAACCTCCTAGTTAAGTTCCTCATCTTCGTTGTCTTAAATGCATAAAAATGTTTATTTGTCTTCAGATTGTATTGCTAAAAAACAGTAGAATCAACACATTAGCCAGACAAGAAAAATCAAATCAGAATAATTGCAGTAAGAAATTAAACATTAAGTCAATGTAATCTGAATAAATCTGTTGCTATCTTTCCAGAAGCTTAGTCAAACTTTCAAATCTTACAAGGTTTTACTTCAAATTTTGAAAAAACCAACTGGAATAACAACCGTGAATACACAATGTACAGTACCTACATTGCCAGTCTGTGAGTGTCAGGATCCAAGCTTGTGATCAAATTATTTCAAATTCTACAACTTGATTGTTCAAATATAGGTTGTTACTGTTAACTGTGCCAGGATCATCCATGGCAACCAGATTGCTACCAATGGTGTTGTCCATGTCGTCGATCGTGTCCTGACTGCTGTTGGAAATACCATTCAAGATTTCATTGAAGTTGAGGATGATCTGTCATCATTTAGAGTAAGTGGACGAAAAATAAAAACTCTTCTTGGTTTATTTAAGTAAGATGATTTTATTCCTTTTTGATCTTTTATGATACCTGGAAGTAATAGGTGTTAGCTCAGCAAGAGAGGGAAATAAATTAAATTAAGAGCTCCAGGTAATATTGCAAATCTAGCTATTTAAAAAGGCAACATCAATAGAATAGAATGTGTCCCTGTACCTAAAAAGTGTCTTCTCTTCAAGCACTGAGAAAATGAAACGTGAACATGAAGTTACAGAGTCTGGTGCTAGATAATTAAGAACAATTTCAAAATGGATGATAAAAAATGGTAAAGATGCCAAATAAATTTCAGAACCTGACTCATAGAAAGTTTTAGAACACCAGTAGATACACATAATAAGGATTTTTCTTGCACAGAGGAAGCATTATTAGAAATTGTCATTAATAATTAATTAATTTTCATTAACAATTAAAAAAAGTTTCTAATTTTTCCATCTTCTGGAAAATGTGTCTGCACATTGCAATGAGATTTCATGCTGCATATTTTTAAAAGTATGCCATTGGTTTGCAGATAAGTGTTGTCCTTTTCCATCTTCCATCTCCTTAATAAATACAAAAAGGTATTTTAAATGCAGAGGCATAAAAGTGGAGAAGATCCTCTGAATCCCTCAAATTCAGTTCATGACAGTTATGGGCAACTACAATCTCTTTAAAAAACTTAATATAAAAACCAATACTTCCTGGGTTTCAGCTTAAGAAAAATTCCTCTGTTGATTAATTTTTTCATTTTTATGACATTCATGATCTATCTTTTTAAAACACTATGATCTCAGTCTAGCATTCAAGTATCTGCAGGCATGAGGTAAAACTAGACAGATAATGTATTTTGGTAATATTTCAAATAATCAGCATTAAAAGGAAAAATTTTATTTTAGGCTCCTGCCATTACATCAGGTGTCATGGACATTCTCGGAAGACCTGGTCATTACACACTCTTTGCTCCTACTAATGAAGCTTTTGAGAGGCTTCCAAGAGGAGTTTTAGAAAGAATCATGGGTGACAAGGTGGCCTCTGAAGGTATTTAAACTTTTTTGCAAATGAGAAATATGTACACTGCAAATGAGAAATATGAGTGGATCAAGAGGCAAAAAATGCAATATCCTTATAGCACCAAAATTAAGCACCTCTACTTTCATGTGTATGCAAAGACTAACTTCTTCTTTCTCTAATTTTTCCACTTGCCTAAGAATTGAAAGTAATTGAAAACTTAGTCTCCAAAAAAGTTTAAAGGGAACTGTGAAAATATAGGCACATTGACATTCTAATAGTTCAGCTGCATAAGTCTAATAGACATTCCTGTCCCTAGAAATTCAGGGCTATCTGAATATGAAATTCTCTCATATCTTTGCATAGACTGGAGTTTTGTACTCATAGGTCCTTTTGGACATATGCAGTCACCAGCAGATTATAGCATAACCAATATACTTTTAATAATATAAGGGATGCCAAATAGTTTTGTAACTATTAGTAAATGTTATTTAGAGGCCTACAAAATCATTAAATTTAAATAAAGCATCTGTGAGTTAAATTAATTTAAAATAGTTTAGCTAGAATCATTTATTCCATAATTATATGTGAATTATATGTATATGAATATGTGTCCAAACACCTACATCTGCTAAATTCCTGCTCTTTTCTCTTCAGCTCTTGTGAAGTTCCATATATTAAATACTCTCCAGTGCTCTGAAGCCATCACAGGTGGAGCTGTCTATGAAACCTTAGAAGGAAACACTGTTGAAGTTGGTTGTGATGGTGAAAGTCTGACTGTGAACGGAGTGAAAATGGTGAAACGCAAAGATATTGTGACAAGCAATGGTGTTATCCACCTGATTGACCAAGTGCTAATTCCTGATTCTGGTCAGTGATGTACATGAAAAACTTCTTGTACTAAAGATATTTTCAATAACCTTACCCATATTCCCTCAGATAAATAGTTCTGGATAAGCATGGAGAATCCAAATCAGGAGTAGGAAGATATTGTGTGTTAAAATACCTTCTCTTAATTCTTTATTTGCAGCCAAACAAGTCATTGAGCTTGGGGGTGCTCAGCAGACTACATTTACGGACCTGATGGCGCAGCTGGGTCTGGCATCTTCTCTAAGGCCAGAAGGCCAATACACTCTCCTGGCACCTCTGAATGGTGCTTTCTCAGGTTAGTGGCCCTAAAAGGTTGTCAAAATAAACAAGTATGTACGCTACCCTGATAGTTTTCCAAATAACTCCCAGTACTTGTTCTAAGTCTCACTGCAAGTACATCACAGACAAATAGAACTACTTCATCCTTTCAGATTACATACCTCGTAGAAAGACAAAACAAGCCTAACCACCAGGCTGCACAGCTTGTTTTCAGTCATATCATTTGCTAATGAAAATAGTAGCACTAAAATAAGATACAAAATAAGCACAGAAAAATTGTAGGAATGGAAAGATATTAATGAACTGCCAGTTTCCTTAGTGTTACATTACTTCCATTAGATTCAAAACTTATTTATTCTCAGAAAATGTATGTAGTTGTCTAATTCCAGCTCAAAGCTAAGTACCACACATCCACTTGATCACTCCCCTCTTACCCCCACTTTGGGATGGGGAGGAAAATCAGCGGAAAAAAAAATGTAATAAAGCCTCACAGGTCTAGATAAGAACAATTTGATAACAGTAACAAAGTAATAATACTAATATAACTAATAGCAATATAATAGTAGTAGTAGTAGTAGTAGTAGTAGTAATCTTAAAAAAAAGGATAATTAAATCTAAGAGAAACAGGTGGTGCATGATACAATTACCCTGATGTATGTCCAGATATTTACCAGCATCTCCCAGGCACCTTCCCCCAGTTTATGTACTGAGCACAAGATTCTATGGTATGGAATATCCCTCTGGCAAGTTTGGATCACCCATCCTGGATGTGATCCCTCCAGCCTCTCATGCATCTTCCCACCCACAGAGCATGAGGCACTGAGATGTTCTTGGCTTAAGGTGAACATTGCTCAGCAGCAACCAAAATATCAGCGTGTTATCAACATTATACTCATAGTAAACCCAAAAAAAAGCACTGTGGGACCTGCAAGGAGGAAATTTGACTCTATCCCAGTTAAACACAGGAAATACAAGAAAGTATTTCTCAGTACATTAAAGCAGAGAGAAACTGGTAAAAGTATACTGTAAAACAGGTATTTGTATATTTACAGAGGTGGCTGTGTGTATATCTTGCCTTTTGTCTCATTACCACAGAAGCAAATTTGGATATATTTTAGGTGCACATGTGGAAAGGACTAGTTCTGATACAAACTATATTAGTAATTCAGGAGGTGGAGCAGGTCCACATATCAATCATCAGACATATTAGTTATAGTAATTAATCATGGCTTTGTCAAAAGTTCTTGACTGAATTTGAGGAATAGTCAAAACAATTTGCCTTCTGTATACACAGACCTGTCCATGCTTTAACTCAAGCATTTCAAAGAAAGATTCAGTATTTCCAGATTATTTTAACTATATTTGAATAAAAAAGCTCTATATAAATTACTATACATTAATATCTAAATTGCTTTGTAGATGACACCTTAAGGCTGGATCAACGTCTTCTTAAAACAATCCTGCAGAATCACATTATAAAAGTGAAAGTTGGGCTCAATGAACTGTACAATGGACAAGAGCTGGAAACAATTGGAGGAAAACTACTTAGAGTCTTTGTGTATCGCACAGTAAGTGAATGAGTCTTTCTAAAAATATGCATCCAATTAGGAAAATAGAGAGTCAAGAAAAGGCAAAGCTAAATGAAACCCCCAATATTTACCATTATGACTATCTAGCAAAAAAACTTCAACTTTTAAAACAGCAAAAAATGAAAATCTGATCTTTCTCAGTCCAAACTTTGTTTGGATGGAGAGTTCTTTGGGAAAATGCAACAGAATTTCAAATTGGGTGCTCAGTTGATTACAAATTTTTAAAGCTCATTTTTAGAACAAATTAAGAACATTCTCAAGTGTAAAACACCACAAAAAAAATCAAGTTTTAAAATATTTGCACCATGCTATTTTATTATAGGTTTTGCTATTTCTGCTTGCTCAAGCAATGCCAAATTTCTTGTCAATAACACACAATTTGACTGTAGGAAATACATAGTTGTTATTTTTAACATTGTGTAAACAGCTACATTTGTTTCTTTTTCAATAAGGCTGTATGTATTGAAAATTCATGCATGGTCAGAGGAAGCAAAGAAGGAAGAAACGGTTTTATTCACATCTTCAGACAGATCATCAATCCAGCAGAAAAGACTTTGCATGAAATGCTAAGAAATGATAAGCGATTTAGGTGAGTAGCAATATTGACAGAACTGAGATTTTCCTGCAGAGGATAACTGTATATACAGCACAGCTGGTTTGAGAAAAATTTTTGGACTGTGAGCATGTGAGTTGTTGGGGTTTTGAGAGCAGGGATGGCAGAAAAGGGTTTATTAACTACACAAATAACATAAAAAGAAAAAAAATGTGGAGGAAGAAAAATGTTCTCCATCTGTATGCTGAAAAGGCTTCCACACTCTATGCTAGAATGTTTTTTTATGGCACAAAGGGTTGTCAGACACTAGAATGTAAGGAGTAAAGGACAGAAAGAATTTAATGATACATCCAGTCCTATAAATGCAATGGACTCTGGGGTTTTAATTAATGTGCACTACAATTCCATGTGGGTGCAGGAGGATTGCATACCTTGACAGTACTGATATCTGTCCCTTTCCTGCAAGTATCTCAATACTCCTAGAGCAAGAACTATCATTTGCATCCTCCTTTTATTTGTTTGATCTGCAAGGGTTTGTATTTGACAAATCCTCCACTGATCCCAGCTGCCAATATATTTTATTCAAATAGTTTTTCCTCTGTCTGCTACTTTTAAGAGTGGCTTTTCCTTTTCTTTTTTTCTCATTTTCCTCTTCCACTATCATTATTTATGGGTGTCATGGTTTGACACTGGCACAATGCCAGTGCCCCCATGAAAATGTGATCCCTACCTTGAATGCTGTGAAGTGGAATCTAGAATAGAGCAAAGCAGGCCCAAGCTTAATAACAGGAAAAAAAACTTTATTAAACTACCACTACAAAAGAAAAGAGAAAACTAAAGAAGGGGAAAAAAACCACACAAAGATCCAAATGAAAACCTTGCAAAACATTCCTCCCTCCCACCACCCAACTCCAACAAACCACAGTGAGACACAATCTGGACCCCAATCAGGTTTCCACCCTTCAAACAACCAATACTCAGTCCATCGAGGGAACAGAGTCTCTCCTGTGCCACAGACCCCCCAAGAAACACAGCTCCACATCCTGTGTTTCCATGTCACACATGGCACCG